AAGGTGCCGGGAGTATCTCTCATTATGGGGCTCATTTTTGAGACGGGCCACCCCGGATTGAAACGTAATAGTATTGTCTTATACATAGTCACACAGGCGAGGCGAACACATGACCATTTACCGAGAGATGAAGCGTAATGGATCCGCACTTACACAATTCTCTCCTCTGCATGGGCCGCTTGAGCAATGGCTCTGTCAGAATCCAATGATGTTTTCTTCCCCGCAGCTTCCCTCCGACACCTTTTCTCCAACCGTTGTCATTTCCTGCTGTTTATGAGCCCCCGGACTGAAGGTGGCTGTGCACGGATTCTCTTTTATTGCCTGAAATATGAGGAGGGTAATTATGACTCTTCAAATGTACTCTGTGAAATGTCTGAAATAGTCACGTAAAAAAGAAAAAAAGTGTGGCATTGTCATTATGGAGCCCCCCCACCCGTTGATGTATTACGATTGCTTTTACCACCCACCGGCTGTTCAAACTAAACTGTTCAAAAGTATTTAATTTGTTGTCATATAGGGAAAAGACAAGCAGCACATGAACACTTAAATAAGATGACGCAAGCTCACAAATGAGAGGCTCTGGGTTTGAATTCTGGCCCTTCTGTGTTGGGACTTTGCATGCAGCCAACGAGGACAAGCTCAGTGGTGCACTCGGGTCTAAACTTAGAGGGCATAAATTGCGTAGGTTCAAGCCTTGGCCAGGGCCACGCCGTATGACTGCTATTTCGCGACTCTTAAATCAACTGGATTTATAGAGCACTTTAAAGCAAACCACCGCTGTATACAAAGTACGGTACATGTAGCAAAAATAATTCACAATACAACAAACAATAAATTAATAACAAAGACGGTAGAAGGCAAGAACAGTCAAACTAAAAATCAAGTCTCACGCTGAGTCAAAAGCCAAACAATAAAAATTTGTTTTAAGACGAGCTTTTGGTTGCTCTAAGTAACGAACTGTGTCACTGTCATGTGGTGTTCCACAGGGTTCAATTCTGGGGCCTCTGCTGTTTTCATTGTATCTGCTCCATTTGGGTTCCATCTTAAGGAAACATGGTATTTCCTTCGCTGGTACCATGACCCGGTTTGGGAGAGAGGTTCTCAGGAGGTAATGTAATGGATGCCACCTCTCAACGTGGGATCCCAAAAAAAGAGGGATTTTTGCTCAGAAGTTAGTGCACTCGAATCTCCACCCGGGTGATGTTGGTCGTGCGGGTTTGGGCCGCAGGCAGGACAGCGTCAGATGATCCCATTATATATGGAACTGCCTTCCTGGAGGAGCCTTCGTACCGGTAGTTGAGTAAAACCAATGCAAAACTGTCCAGAAATCAGCAGAAATCGACAAAACCTGCCTGAACACAGGAGGGCTGGGGAATTGTCTGTCCATGGGTTCTGATTGAGACCACAAACTTGACCGTCGCGTGTAGGGAACTGCGTTTCTGGAGGCGCTATAGTAGTTGAGTAAAACCAAAGCAAAAAATGTGGAAGTCTTATTGAAAGTTGATAAAAGCATTCCTTTTTCATGATTGACTTGGAAATAGTTCCTCCAGGTGTCTCGTCCAGTCGCTATTCTTAATTGCCTCTCACATGGTATCGATAGAGAATGGTTTCAAATAATCGACCACGCATGTTCTTGTCCACTGTCATGTCTAATTCCGAAGACCTGTAACAGTGAATATTTGTACTGTGCAGGCCAAAGCTCATCTTCATAACAGAGCCTTGACTTTTGTTCAACGTGTCAGCGCTACTTTTCAACAAGCAGCGAGGCGGCTCATGACTTTGGAAAACACAGATTCCTATAGTTGGTTTCCATAGAAACACAGAGTCTCAGGCAAGCGTGGCTTCTTGGAGTTACGTAAGGTGCTGCCCATAATAAGAAATACACACAGTTGTGGGTTTTTGTCTTTTGTCTGAATTCCTATTTTTAGGTCTGAGACACAAAAGAACCACTCGATGCCACGTTTTTTTGTCTTTTATGTCATGATGTCGAGTATCTCCGTCGGGCATATTGTTGTGCGTTACGTGCAAATCTTGCGCTGGATGCCTCGTTGCCACCGTTTGTGTGTGAGTGTGATGCCGAGCAGCTGCTCTTTAGCAACACAATTAAATACGGATGACACAAACGCCTCTTTAATTACTGCCGCAGCCCAGGTGTCAATCCTTGAACAAGCCACAACAATTGAGAGTATATTAATAATTCTTGATTAAGGGTTGTACCATTGTCCCTTTTCACCATGATTAGACAGCCCGCATTAGTGAGTTTTTCTTTCTGCCCGTGGCTGCAGACGAGGGGAAAATGCAGCGGCGTCCAAATGTTTGGGTGTCCACTGCCCTTGTTATGACTTTATTAGTATCAACACTGTATGTAATTGCACTTTGTGAGTTTCTTCAATTTGAGATAAAATGGTGCTGAGATTTTTGAGGTACGGGTTGTCATTTGGACAGTTTTTTTTTTTTTTGATTTGCTAGCAAAAATTTAGCACCTTTCACAACAAGTAGCAGATCGGCAGATAGCAGACAATACTAAAAAGAGGCTTGGAGCTATTTATCGCCACCCTTAGTTGAAGTTTATTCTCAAACTAAATTGAAACAAAGAGAATTGCAAGCTGTGTGTTTAGCTTCGCGCTAACAAAAATGCCATAGATGGGCAAATGAATAGTATCGGTGTCATGGTGTTGTAACTCATCAAGTATGAATATTTGAACACTAATATTGGAGCCACACCTGGAACCAGATGACAAAACAATACTCACTGAAATGCATTATTTATCCTCCACGAAGAATGGCTAATATAAGTTCCGCTTACTGAAGCATTATTACCGACTCCATATTTTTCTAGATTCCCAGATTATATTTCCCCAATGTGGCCCAGGCACGTGTACCATGTGGAGGAACACAATGTCCATTGAAGTGTGGCAAAAAATGTGCCGAAAACTGTTTAACTCTTTCCCTCCTATTTAATTAAGCTTTACAGTGTTGTTTTTATCATTAAGAAACACTTTTGTGTGTGTGTGGGTGTGTGGGTGTGTTTAGGAGACTGGAATAGACTTCTGCTAATGATAAATTACATTCGTAAAGTTCATTTCTACGATTTCATTGCGGCCCCGCCCCCCTCGGGAAGCCTCCGCTGTGTTTCTCCTGGACAAATTGTTGCGCTCCGTCGCCAAGCCTTCCAAACAACTCCAACTGCAAGTGCAACAGAAGATTATTAATTGATGCCGGATCCAGCGTTATCTTTGTGTATTACCGTGGCAACCTTTTGCCTCGGGCTCATATTGGTTTCATCTGTTTGGACTCCGAAGCTTGTTATTTTCATTTTGTGGGCGCGCTTGGGCGAGTCCGCGGCGATCCAGCATCGACTGTAATATTCGGTAAAGCCGACTCGTGTCGACTGTTGTATCTCGCGGAGTTTAGGGGCTCACGGCGGCTCCCCGTTCGCCAGCCCGCTTTACGCCCAACCGCGGCTGTATTTCTTATTAGCTTTTTTTTTTTTTTTTTTCCCACTCCCCATTAGATTCATTGCGGCACGCGTTGTACAGAATCTGAATTCTTTTACGACCCTTGGGAATCAGGCGCGCATGCCTCCACTTTCCATCATGACATCCTCATCTCACTTTGGACGGGAGCCGCGACCGCGGCTTTAAGTCGGTAATTAAAATCTCTGATAATAAGGTGGCACAGTCACCAATTTCCTAATGGATTTCAACAAACCTTGACACCGGTGCCCCGCAGCCATTCCGTAATGCAAAAGAGGAAGGCTCTTTGGACTGATAAGAGCCGATTTAATCTTTTTTGTTTTCGACGCAAACTCAATTATCGATTATTTGAAAGCTCACTCACGTTAATGAAATAAATAGGGGGCAAAATGGCTCCGAGCTCTGCCGCGGGCAAAGTGGTAAAAGATGTAATGCGAGGGGTTGTAATGGCGGCCACTCAATAATGGTGATGAGCTGTCACCACTTAGCGGCAAATAACATGCGGCTGATCCGGTCTCACTTTTATTCCCGATGGAACATTTTCACTTTGGACATTGTGTTGCTTGAGCGGGCAACACATCACAGGGGGGAATTCAAACACAAATGCCAGAATAAAAGCACGTTGTTAAATACAGGATGTTCCCCGACCAAAAAAAAAAAAAAAATGGAGGTTGTTCACCTCTTCAAAGTTACTACTTTTTCGGAAAGAAAAAAGCCAGACGCAGCCACATTCCGGTTCTAAAAGGGTGTGCAATCACATTATTTGTATTTGAATTGTAATTCTCCCCTTAAGATTTTGTCCTTTCTTAATTTCTTACGCAGATGCCGATGATGATAATTCGCGAATTCAAATCGCTGCAGTCTAAGCGTCAACTTACTGGCAAGGATCACTTCAGTAGCATGATCAGTCGTGTGTGGAAAAAAATCAGTCCATAAATGTCCCTCTCCACACTATAATGAAATTTGTTCCGCATTCTCGAGGACAAATTGAGTCTATCATATATGACAAGTGCATGGAATTGAATGCAGCATCTACCTCGCACTAATTTTCAGGTTGAAGTGTCCTTTTTATGAGTCACTCTGCAGTTGCTCATAAACATCCGGTTTAAAAAGTGGCAATTAATTATAAGCTTTTATTTTGGCAGCTGTGTCCGTGATGTCATGGAGCTCGTTTTTTTTTTTTCCCCACGAAAAAAAAAAAGCTGCCACAAAACAAAACAGTGGATTGTAATGGGAGAGTGCCAAGCCTGCGATTAAAGCGCCGCTGTGTTTAATCATCTCCAAACATTCGTCCTTGCTTGGGCAACACAACGGCAGATCATTTTTCGGCCATTGCTAACGTCTTGTATGCACGCATATACTTATTGATCTATAGCTATGTACGGTTTCACAGTCCCTCAAGAGTGAAACCATCACAACAATGTGGCCATTGCCAAAAAAACGCCTTTTGACACCCCTGTGCTCGAGTCAATTTTACGGAGCTAATATGACATCATCTCATCTTGCGTTTGTGCCACTCGACAGGGATGACGTGCCAAGCGAGGACGTCCTACACCGAGGACGAGGTTCTGTGGGGACACCGTTTCTTCCCGGTCATCTCCTTGGAGGACGGGTTCTTCAAGGTGGACTACTCCCAGTTCCACGCCACCTTCGAGGTGCCCACGCCGCCGTACAGCGTGAAGGAGCAGGAGGAGGCCCTGCTCCTGTCCTCGCCTCTCATGGCGCCGTCTCTGTGCAACAGCGGCGAAAAGAACAGCTCCCTGGACTGTCTGGAGACCCTGGAGGACAATGACAGCACCACCAAGCTGCCCACCAAGCTCCAGAAGATCACGGGGCGGGACGGCCTCCCTAAAAAGCTGCTGAGGATGAGCTCCACCACCTCGGAGATGACTTACAGTTTCGGAGACCTGCCCATGAAGCTGCAGCGAATCAGCTCCGTGCCCGGCGTGTCCGACGATAAGCAGGGCGGGAAGGCCTCCAAAATAAGCACAGAGCCCATCAGCAAGTCGGTGGCGGACTTACCCCCCAAACTGCAGCGACTGGCCGGGGGGGGCCGGATGGACGGACACCTGCCGCCCAAACTCAGAAAGATGAATTCCGATCGTTTTACATAAAGAAAAGCCAATCACCCGTCTTTTGACTTCCCTTGTGCTATTCCTGATTTATGAATTGATATTTTACTCATGTACAATATGCGCACAGATACAATCTGTGTGGAATTCCTTCTGACCATTCTCAGTTGGCAATCGAAAAAGGGACTTCTTATTGTTTTGTTTTTTTTAATCAAACTGTGACTCGACCTGAAAATTAGCTTTCAATTTTCATTTTTCAATTATAGGCTCGGGTAAAAAAAAAAGAAAAAAAAGAAAAAAAATAGGAAAACGTGAAAACGGGTCACAGCTTTCATTTGATTTTTACACAGTGGTGCTTTCAAAGATAAAGATGGTATCCATTTTTTTTTTGTTTTTTTTATTTTATGATTGCCAATTGAAAATGGAAAGAGTGAATGCAACAGACTGAAGACTTTTTATCAAACAGGGGGATGGAATACCCTTCAAGTTTTCACAATTACATTTTAGGCTTGGATCAGAAATGTAAAATTCGGCCACCGGACCGAATTTGATTTTAATATTGAATTGGTTATATTTACATGACCTCAAATTTTGCAAATGATTATGAGTAAAGATACGATGGCTTGTTAACCACCACAATCTGTCAAACGAGACGTACACTGTACACACATTTTCAATGTAGTACATCAACGGTGTACTGCTTCTTCTTTCATTGATTCGCCGATTCTCTTTATTTCAATGAGCGAACCAAGGTTAGAAGGGGGGGTGGGGGGAACTGATTGGCTCGAGTCGCGCACATTTCCCACATCACGTCTGATGGAGTTCATTTGCTCACAGCTCTCAGGTCTGTCTCTGCGGCCCGGTACCGGTTCGCGGACCGGTGGGTGGGGACCATTGTTCTAATGAGCACTACAGGTGTCTTCCAACTTATAATCAATCAATCAATCAATCACTCGGTCTATTTACAGGGTGACACGTAATCACTTCACTGCTTCGTGACATGGTGTGTACCGCACTAACCGCGAAACAGAGGAAGCTAAGGAGAGCTTTCTCAGGAGATTCGAAAGAAATGTATCGACAAGCATGTTGAAGGCCATAAGACCATCTCCAAGCAGCTTGATGTTCCCATGACGACAGCTGCGCATATTGTAGGTTCTCATATGGATGGATGGAACATGGCGGTTAACAAGCTAAAATGTCTTTAGTCATTCTAGCTACCAAACGTCCTTGACTACCTGACATTAGAACCAAACTGAGTCATGTGGCCCGTTTTTCATTTGTGTATTTTTGATCTGAGCCTAAATTTAAAATTGTGAAGTCTTATTTTTTTTCGGGAGATTTAAAAAAAAAAAAGTCCCTTTTCCCCTTTATTTTATTTTTCTTAATTTCCACTTCAAAATGAAAACGACAAATGATGCACAGATTGGATGGCGTTGAGCACATCTGTCCCGGCTGTGTGACGTGTACGTACAAGCAATGAAGAGAGACCTCAGACTCCTTTTTTTTTTTTTTTTTTTTTTTTTTTTTAGGACGGTGTACAATTAGCACAATCAGGCATGTAAGAAAACAGCGCATGTAGAACCGAATCTCAATAATTCCTGGCATGAAATGTTTATATATGAAAAAAAAAAACAATAATAAGTTCATTCGTGAATTTACCGAGAGTGGAATATTGCACAAAGCCATAAGATTTCAAACCAACATGAAATATGATTCTACGTAGGTTTGTGGCGACGGGCGGCACATAACATTTGTTCCTTGAGTTTCTTGCTTTTGTTGTTTAATGTAAAGTTGTGGCAATGTTCTGTTGACTGCATGCTCCTCTTACTGACTAGACAAAAGGTAATAGACAAAGATGTTTTTAGCCTTAACTATATTACCTTGTTTCCATCTTTATGTTCCTTCACGGTAATTCCTTTGCTCTTTTCATCGGCGTGCTGCTTTGCCACGCGCCATTTTTAATGACTCTGTTCGTCGCGCCAACACGGAACATTTTGTCAAACGACGACTGCCTTTTACACTGCATCTCATGTCCCCCGGATGAAACGGGGGCGCAAACAGCGACGCAATTTCCACATGCTTATTAAAGTCAAAATTTCATTTCAAAGGGTCTGTCGCTGTACTTGAGAAGCACAATGCAATCACTCCATCACATCCATCTGGAATCAGTTAGCATTTACATATGGAAAGCCGTTTCAGCATTCGTCCTCGTAGCCAGCTTAAGGTCCGTGTACTCGGATGCCGTTCAAGTGCCGGTTTTGACAATTTAACTGTAACCGGTGGTGGAAATTTGTCATTTTATGTTAACTGTACTTTTGATGGCGGCGCAGGTACCCGCGGCGGCTCCTCTCTCTCCTGAGGAAAGACATTTCATCTGTGCTGTGTGTTGCGCATGTAGCACATTTGACAATCAAGTTGATTTGATACTTGATACTTGACAAATGTTTACTCCCATAGTAAGGCACAATTAGTACGCAGAACTATCTTGCTAGCGAGGACAAAGTGGATGCTAGTACATGGACTGAAACACTTAAAAAAATCTGTTGGAGCATTTATTCAATATCCTTGACATCAAGTCCATGTATTAGTACCGTATTTGTCACCACTAGGAAAACAATTTGACTTTCCATAAAACCCATTTTGGGCATTTATTTGATACCTTAAGGTACTAGTAGGACAACTTTGACATACGAGTAGTAGTCGGACAACAACAGTAGGTGTGAAGCGAAACTGTGTGCCACGACAACTACTAGTGACACTTGTGGTACTAGAGGCGTGTAGATGTCAATGAGTACAGCTTTGCATCACTAGTCATGTAGTTGTCCTCCCAGTATGCCAATTAGGGTGCAGCATTGTCATACAGCGATGGAAGGGAGTTTGAAAAATGGCGCGGATGAACACTGTGCGACATTTGTGCTGGTCGTAAAAAATAGAACCTAAAGAGCGTACCGGTACTGTGGACCTTAAGCTGGATATAGAGGATACACACTAAAAAAATGTGAGTTGTTTTCCTAACCCATTTGCTGGGTAGTTATGGATTTTGAGCAGATTGGGTGACTTTTCCCCAAGGTTGGGTTCATTCTTTTGACCCAGCAAATCGGGTTGATGATTGGATTTGGCCAAGCAGAAGAGCCAAACCTGGTCTAGCATTATTTGTATCTTCTAGTGCTGTATTATTTTTAACCGCAGATACACTGACAACCTGCTAACCCTTTTTTGTTGTGTACTCAGTGCTGGGTTACTTATCTCACTAAGCTTGGGTTACAGTTTTAAGTGTGTATGGAATAAATCCTGAAAGGGCTTTCGATAAACACGGGCATTCTGTCATAGACTTTGTAAGACAGTCGGTAGATCAGTACCGAGCGGTTCTACCCAACTGAACACCAGTTGATCTTCATGGTCACACACACAAGTTACACAGCTCGGGCTGTGTTCACCTTGATGAAAGCAATAATACAAAACCTCTCATCTTGATCAAGCCGCAGCCCCCCGCCATTGTCATTGTCGACTGAATGCCTCTCACCACGTTTCGGTTCTCTCTCAATGCATTCCAAACATTGTATGATACCCAGTCTCTTCAGGAATAAAGATCTAACAGCATTGTTTAAGCATTCTTTTGCTTGCATACTGTATGTTGCCGCTGAAGCCGAAATGGGCTTTGTACCTCACAAGTTGTCGGTTACCGAGGTAACACTGAGCCGCTCTCTCTCTCTCTCTTCCGTTTTATAGAACAGCAGTGATTGACAGTCAACTGTCAGTCACCGCTATTCTCTGCTCCCAGCGGTTGATCGCCTGCCCGTGGCGCTTAGAAACGTTTACCTTTGCGCATTTTGCATGGCATTACTGTATTTCCCCTTTTGCCGCATCAGTTGGCTCCTGTCAACTTGACAGCGTGTTGCTCAGGTGACAATGTATTGCCGACATACAATGACAACAAAGATTTGCCGCCAAGTCATCGGAATGCTGCTTGTTAAACTCCTGGTTCCGCCGTTTCTCATAGTCCCCATTAGCATGGATTTTTTTCCCACACTCAGGCCTAATTTTATTGTACAAAGAGTTTTCAACCAAAATCTGGTCTTGTCATTAGCATATCAAGGTGAAAAGATTCATTCGATAAAACTATATATTGAAAGTGAATATTTAAAAAAGCAAGAACTCGTTGATGTCATTGTGTTTATTTCAGACATTTGTACAAACGCCCATGCCAAATCATCCTCAGTAAATCCTTTTGAGATAATTCATACTATACTCTTAAGATTATGGCTGTAACAACAAAGTTGATGACATCGAGGAAAGTTGATTTTTAAGTGTTCGAAACAAATGTCATTATTGATTCAACTTGTGCGATTATCGTGTCGTTGCTCTTGTCTTGTCCTGGCTTGGCCACGTGGGGGAAGTGTGGTGCACAAAACGTCATTACTTCATCGGATAAAAGACCAGAAGAAGAAGATCACGATGGAACATAACAAAATGGGACGGAGCAAGCGATGTCTGTGAGTATCGCTGTATTTTATTATTTTTGTATTTTGTGAATATTTGTTATTTCGGGACATGTAAAAAACGGCACTTGTTCTGTTTAGCCAAGCGCCGAGTCGGTAGCGATAAGTTAGCCGTGTTTGGAAAACAAAGTATAAGTTGTATCAAAATAAGCAACTTGTTCCTGTATGTTTTTTTTTTCTTGTTGTGGTTGTTCTTGCAATTAAAGCAAACAAACGTTGAATATTTTTGAAAAAAAAAACAGTTGGCTCTCTGCCATACGGCTCTCAGGAGAGTGAGGACAGAATTAAAAATAATTGACAGATTAATAGGTTATTGAAATCATCGGCAGCTGAAGTCCTACTTCATTTTTTGGGGGGGCTGATTAAAAATACATGCAGGAGGCTGCGTCTGCTTGTGATCTTTTTCTAAAATGTGCTGGAAAAAGGCTTCCTCGCCAGTGTCATAGCCAGAGAGATTTTCCTCTGGCACTTTTCATTGTTTTGATCCTACTCTGTGAAATAACCCTTGCTGTTCATTAGTCGCAATGCACATTATTGCTGGCACACATAGGGCGTAAATAATAAAGCTATTTATTGTATTATTATTATTTTTTTTAAGATTATGGAGAGAAGGGCTGCTAAAGAAACACTACCAGCTCGATTCATTCTGTTTTTAACCTCATGTGGCGAACCTCTTTTTGGAACCAACCCGCGGGAACAATCAGAAGAGCAAAGCGAGTGTCAGCAGAGTGCATTATTTCTTTTATTGCCCGCCTAAATCA